GTTACTAGTTGTAATCTGATCGCCCTTGGAGGCGATTCAGCCCTTTGTAACCGGCTCAAATTCTAGTGGAATCATTTTCAACTGGGCTAGGCCCCGTGGTTTTTCCCCCTTTTCAGGGGTTTTCCACATAAAACTCTGGTTTCTCTTATGAATGCTACACCCTCTCACTTATCTGCTTGTGTGCTGGATCTTCGTACAATGCTAAGACGTTAAACTAAATATTTCTCTACCGCCGCGAATACTCTAGGACGCAACAAATAGTATTATATATATAATATTATATTAGTTTAAAAAATAAATCAAATTATTTTTAAATCTTTTTTTTTTCGGACATCAAAATATAGGTTATAAAAGATTAAAATAGTGAGTTTGATTTCTTAGTAGTGATTGAAAGTTTCGAGTTGATCTTATTATAAAATGATCATAAGTAATGCTACATATATCAATATCTTCTTAGTTGTAAGATCAAATTATTTTATAAAGAAAATAATGATTAATATAAATCGAACCACCTTAGATATAACCAATAGATCATTAAAACCTGAATACTTTTATAAAATATTTATGACACCTTGTCTTCAATCAAATGGAAATAACAGACATTATGGACCAAGTAGAAGTACCCGTAGCCAATTTCTTTTTTGCTAAAGACAAAGATGGGCAACATTTATCTTGCTCCCTTCCAGGCAATTTACTTCATTATTTCTTCCATTTTATGCTAATGATAAGTTACTATTACAATTTAGGGTTTGTTTGGAATAGATTTCTTAATGCTTTTTAAAATATTATTTAAGTTAAAAATATCTTGAATTAGAAATTTTTGTACTAAAAAACTGTTTTAAAAAGCAATGAAAAAACTATCACAAATAAGACCTTAATATGTGAAAAGGTCTTCTTCATGAGATTTTTCTTAAACTTCAAAAAAACAAAAGTCTAACTCAATTTTTAATCCTCAATCTCTCATTCTCTTGCCTATTCTTTGTATGTTGTTTAATCTAAATGTTATAGCCTTTTTATGCCTCAAAAACATCGCTTTCATGCTAATTAAACATAAATACACCTAACATTATAAAACATAAATTATGATTTTCTTACTTCAAAATGCCAATATGAAATTATCAATTTTTTGTAAAATTTTAGGAAAGTTTGTGATGTTTAAATTAGTCAATATTGTTTTTCAAGTTCTTCTAAATAAATGATGAATTACAAAATCATTATTTTATAAAATATAATTTTGAAGCACTAAGCTCTTAAAAGAAATGAGTAAATGTTCCCTTGAAATGAATGCTAGTAATCTACCATGAGAGAATGAAGAGGACTTCAACTATACTCAAAATCCCATATTTTTCTTTCTAAGAGAGTATGAATATTATGACACATAAATTCATTTTTTGTTCTTTTGTGTATATATATATTGTTTACTCAATTCTTGTAATTAAGCTTTTCAATGTGATTCCTTGAAGAAAATAGAAGTTATAATAGAGGAATTCAAAATCTAATATCTTATATTCTATGAGACTAATATTATGACTTTTGTGCTAACATACTATCTTTTATGCAATATAAATCTTATTTATTGGATTCCTTCTAAGTTATCAATGTACTTCTCAAAGAAAATAGAATTTGCATAAGTAAAACTCATTTTTTTTTCTTTAGCATCATAGAAATGGAAGACTCGTTTAGGGTTATGAAATGTCTAACCTTCTCTAAATTATAAAATCTCTTTAGAAAAAAAGTCCTTGCAACTATTTTACAAATGATGCCATTAACCATAAATACTCTCTAAAACTAAGTCACAATAACAAGAAAATTAAAAGTATTGTTACACTCCCCAAATAAATCTATATGAAAAACTATTTGAGCTCCAGTTCTTAGGTGCTCTAATAAAATAAGGAAAGTGATATGTATTGCTATTTGGAACAATTATTAGGTCAGGTGACCTGACGTAGCTCTACATTCGGACGTCAATAACATGCCGCCACGTGGTCTTACTCAATACCGCGCGGCTCAACGACTTGACCCTGGATTGATATGTTCGCGTATTGCTCGGTATTGCTAGGTATTGCTTGGCAATAATGAAAAATATCGCTCTGTGAAGACCAATACCGAGCAATGCCGAGAAATACCGAACTCGGTATTGCTCAGTATTGGTCTTCACAGAATGGTATTTCTCGTTATTGCCGAGTAAAATCGACTAATACCGAGCAATACCTAGCAACACGCGAACATAGCAATCTCATCTCCGTTCCGGGTCGGGGTTGTCGGGCCGCGCGGTAAATAGTGAGAATACGTGACACTATTTTACTGGCGTCCGAACGTAGAGCTACATCAGGTGACCGGACCAAATAAAAGTTCTGCTATTTGAAGATGATCTAATTAATTAGTACTAAAAAATAACTCACCCCACTTACAATCAATAGAATTTCGTCAGACAAGAAGTCTCCACTGAGTTTCTCTGCTTCGTTCTTTTATATGCAATGCGAAAGTGGCTAATTTTTTATCATTCAGCAATCATATGACCTATACAAAGAAGAGAATAAATTTTTTGCTAAGGCACCACCGAATTTGCCCATGCACACGCATCCCTTCATCCAGTTGCAACTGTTGCTCTCTTTTTTTAGAATCTACATTAGATTCAAAATTTAATTAGGAGTTTTTCATAAAAAATGGTAATTTTTTTTAATAAATTTTAAAACCTTATTTTATCTAAAACAGAATGATAATTTGTATTAATCCAAAAAATAAAAAAAATTCTTACATTTTTTATTTATTTATTGTGGCAAAATTATAAGTCAATATTCTTATAATTCATTTTTTTTTACTCTATAATATCGCATTGTATCCTAGATCTTCTCTATAAACCGAGCTTTCTAAGCTCCCAAATATTCGAAATTTGATTACCCCACAATCTCAATAAGCTCAAATAATGCTTGAATTTAATACTAATGAGAGACTTCCTTTGAAGTATACGATATCAAGATGGATTAACTAGTACAAAAAATAATTATTATTATTAATCTTTCATACCCTTCAAATGTTTGTCTTCTTGCTTTAAATATTACAATAGTATAACTTGGCATAGGGAAAGACTTATTTATATAAGATCAATCCTTTTGATCACCTTAAATTAGGGGTGTCAATATTTGACACGACTCGAAAATCTGATTTGAAACCGATCCAGAAATTTCGGGTTAGGGTCAACTAGTTTGTGAAACAGGTTTGATTTGGGTTCAACAAACCGACCCGTTTCAAAAGTTAGGTCGGGTTCAGGTTTACTTTGAAACCTAGGAATGCACCCTTACAAACTTTAAGTACTTGAACATCTCTTGAGAATATATATCCCACTAGACTAAAAATATTAAATTTTTTATGATATCTGGAATATGTTTGGCTCGTATTAATATTCTAGTCACATAATAATGTATCATCAACTTTATCGTACTAAAACTACCAATCTTGCATAGTAAATTATTTTTCAAATAAACATAATCACTAAACTATAACTTATAAATAAAAATATAATATCATATAATATGAAGAAGATGAATCCAAAATTCATTGATCGTGACACATATCTAAAATAGCTATGAAAAGCGACTCATCTTAAGATACACCAAAGCAATTTGAAAAAAAAA